ATGAAAATTTTCTCTTTTCTTGTTTTAATCATAGAAGATAAACTCTGTAAGAGTAAAAATGCAGTTTAACTTCATCAAATTGGAGTCTCTAGAGGCCAAAACGGGTGTTACAATTTGTACTTCTAAATAAGCCAAACACAGGAGCATAAAATGGCCATGTGTTACCTTCATGGATTCTGAACATCAGATAATAGGGTACAGTGGAAATGATATCTCTCTGCTGTATACGATGTTTAGGGTCCCAGAACAATTGTTTGGGCCTGCAGGCCCGGAGACTCGTCTTAATCATGATTTATTTTATTTATTTATTTATTTATTTTATTTTTTCTGGCAGTACCAGGGATCGAACTTAGGACCTTGTGCTTGCAAGGCAGGTGGAGGGCACGGTGTCACCTTTTCATGACCTAGGCACAGAAACCATGAAAGAATCACTTCTACCACATTGCTTTCAGTTGAAGCAAGTACACAAAGTTGCCTGGGTTTAAGGCCAAAGAAGATAAGTTCAACTTCTCAGTGAATCATTCTCAATATATTTCTTAACAAATACAGAGGACATGTGGACTGAAATATATACTAGTGTGGCCATGTTTGGAAAATTAAATCTACCTCATAGTGCCTGGGTCATGTATGAACATGAGCAGTCGTTTCAACTCCATTTATAGTCTTACATATAACATAAAGCTAAACTGAGAGATTCAATGCACAGGCAAAATGCATCATGTTATATACAATATAAACTTGAGGAAAGATGCCTATATCCTGAAGAGTTATGTATTTTAATAAAAATAGATGATAAAATAAGGGCAAAATATGAATGGCTGCAATGTAAGTAGAGAAAGTTTAAATCTTAGGAAAGATATTTAATATCATCAGGATGAGTTGGAGAAAGTAAATGCTGATTTGTTTACTTAGAACTAGGCCTTCAAAACTTAGTAAGATTTCACAGAAGATGTTAGGAAACAGGCACTAAAAGTGAGGAAACAGAAAAGTCTGAGGCAAGAACTCTTCCAAATACATTACAAACAGTATATTACCTGAGACAGCAAAAATTGTCTTTTAGAATTACAGGTTCTACACCTCTACTTCTCAAGTGTTCACAATCTTCCAAATTCCCATCCAAGGAATGTTGATGGTCAAGCAAATTTTAGAACCGCTGAAGTGTAGAATATACATACATATTAGTAAAGATGTCTATTTGAAAACTCTAAGACTAGGGGAAAGGTAATAAGGGAAAAGAAAAGAATATGACAAAATTAAAAATGGAAATAAAGTGTTTGTAAATGGGGGAGGGCAGGAGGGGGTGAAGGGAGGACAGGGACAAGGGGAAAAAATAAGAACCAAGACCTGTCATGTAAAGGTCCAAGATCCCATTAATGAATGTAACTGTACTATATACCTAAAATGTACCAATAAACTCAATAAAAGAAAATAAATAAATAAATAAATAAAAATAAAAACTCTAAGACTAGATCATAGGGAACTTTGGATCTGTTGAATCACTTGGTCCGCAGCAGGATCTGTTTGTTTCACCTATTCTAATTAATTTATCCTGGCACCATATTTTCCATCAAAATTCTGCCTATCTGTGGTAAATTATGTCATGAATCAGTACATGATAAACAATAACAGCGTTAATTACTTGGTGATGTATAGAAAAGCCTACAGTGTAAATTTAAATTACATTTTTAAATATGGAATTTTAGAACCAAAAATAAAACTTAACATTTCTTTAATTCATTTACTAAATACAACAAACCTCCCACTATCCTAAAATATTCGGAAATTACTGATATGCACCCTCATATTCTATGTGGAGGAGACTGTGAAAGTTAGTTTCAGAGGAATAGTTTTATTGGAGCATATTTTGTTCTGTAGAATAGAAAGTGTCTTATACACATGTTGCACCTATAATATTGCTGTCATATTATTTATAAAGCATAGACTCTATTACTTTTATGTACTGGCAGATTTTGGCACTTCTGTGATTTTCTTTGATATATGATTTACTGTGTCAACTAATCTTGAAATAAGTAGATGAACTGATATTCGTCCAGCAAAACTGTACTGTATGAAACCTAAATTCATTTACAGAAAATAAAAGGTATATGACAAATGCAATTATTTGCCAGTTTTAAACAGCTAAGTCTGTTGTTTACCAAATTTTCTAATTTCTAATTCGGATTCTATACACTGTTCTCTCTCCCCACCAACACGTGTGTGTGTCTCTGTCTCTGTCTCTCTGTCTATCTCTGTTTCTCTGTCTCTCTCTCTCACTTTCTCTTCTCTCTCCTGGCAAGTCTTTTCATAATGAATTCACCAAGGAAACCCAGAGTTAAGTCTAGGCCTCAGAACTAGGAACATTTCCATCAAAGATGGTTTGTTAATAATAAAGTAAGGAGGAAAAAAGCTATTTGCTTCTTTTGTGGCTCTGACCCTCCCTTGGTCCTGCCAGGCCTGCCTGAGCATCAGCAGAGTTCAGTGGTAATTAAAGCAACAGTGTTGTGAAAAAAGTGTGAATTACTTTTACAGGAAGACTTGGATGTTGCTACTGACTGACAAAGCACAGCGGGGAACTCTGCTGGATATTAAAGAGTGATGGTAGTCCCTGCATTGTAAGGTGGCTTTTCAGCACAATGCAAAATTGTGACTTTTCACAAGTTGATATCTCTGGAACCATTCGAGTTATCAGCTCAAATTTTAGATTTTTTTCCCCCTATTGGCATGCTTGTGGAGCAAAACTGAGTCACATTTCATGAAATGTGGCGTGGTAGTTGGAATTATGGGGAACTATAGTATATTCCTCTTTCTTTCCCTCCCCTGGAATTTTTACTCCATCATGGAATTATTTTAACCTTGAAGATTGCTAAAAATAGTGAGGAAAAAGCTATCAAGGGATCATATGTTCAACCCTCTCCTGGCAAGTTATTTCAATGTCAACTACCTATACTTTTTGTTTGTGTCATTTTTAAAGACAAAGGTACAGACCAGCACCCAGTTGACAATGCCAAGAAGTGCCAATCCTGCACTCTCAATCTGGAGTATAAATTTCTGCGTGATTGGTGGGTTCCTTCCTCCACCTCCAGCCAGCAAAGGTTCTGATCTTGTTCTTTATGGCTGCAAATCTTATTGTAGCAGCTCCCTCATAGGTGTGACATAACCTTAGTTCTGCTCCTTCTCCAGTGAGAAAATAAAAATGTCTTTAGCCAAATCCAATAAATTACCTCCTATAGATGTGAAACAAGAGAATAAAATAGCTCAGTAGACTGCTCCCTCTTTTCACTTTATAGGTTAACAGACACTATCAGTATTCCCGATCAGGCTCAGAGAGCACATGTGAAACTCTGTGTAAATGTATCACCACTGGGAGAGCCTGCTTTGGTCTATACAGGGTAAAACATACCTGACAGGTAGTGGGGAACGTGTACATGTTGTGATCCTGTAATCATGATTCACTAATGAGGTAAATGAGGAAAGGTTTGCTGTGTAATATGTCTATATGCCTATAATAATGGTATATCAATGATGTAAATGAGGAATAATATGCAGTATAGTATGCCTATATGTTTTTTATTTAACTTTTCCATAAATAAATGGATCAAGACAATAAGTGACATCTTTTATCTTGATATAATTTTAATATCCTGTCTACATCTGACAGCAGTGGGACATTTGATGGGTCAGTGGGTATGGCCAACCAGAAAGCAAGGTGGTATGGGAGGTAAGAGCTTGGATAGAGTCCTGAGCTCTTCACTTACAGCCTGTACAGTTCCAATGTCCTCACGAGTGAAAAGGTTGCGAGAAATAGTCCCATTTTATTTTGAAGACGGAATGAATTAAGACGCCAAACCTTGTTTAGCAGAAGGTCAGGCATATAGAAAGTAATTGATAAAAGCTAACTGTTATACCATTGTGATCAAATTAGGTGCTACTATGAAGCAAGGATGATTTGGGGAATGTCTTTTGCTTTTAGATACACTGATTCTGTGTGATTTGCCAGGCCTGAGGTAATATTTTTAAAGTATTCCAAGGTTATTAAATGGCATTTAGGGGATGAGGCTATGACATGCCAAACAATAGATGGTTTAAATAGACAACAATAATATAAACAGAACAACTGGGGTACTCCAAATGACATTCTTTCACCCCACTAGTGCAAAGTTTAATTAGTATGTAAATAGCATACTCATTTACAATTGACATAATGCCACCTCTTTTCATGCCAAGCTGTCAGGGCCCATGAAACTGTAAAATTCCTGACACTAAACATTTGTTGTAAACTGATCCTTCAAAAAGTAACTTAACTAAATCTGAAAAGGCAAAGAAAGGCGATAATCACTTTTTAAAAAGCCACTTCTGAATTTTTTAGAAAAAATTGTCCAAACTGCTTTTGGAGAGAGAGTTACCGCATTATCTTGGGCTAAGGGTATATTCTATAAAAGAAAGAAAAAAAAAACATGAACCACCAACCCCAGAGTGATGAAAAGCAAAGTGGGTAAGGAAAAAAATACCCACAATTGACATAGCTATTTTCATCACATCAAATCAGCCATCTGTTCTTGACATAGTTTATTATCATTAGGAAGATTTTCTCAATTCAGACATGGTGATGAGGAAAGATGAAGAATTAACCAGATAAATAGCCAATTTGGAAAATTCAGGCTGAGACCCTTTTCCTCAATTTCCATTCCCTCCTTTCTCCCTGCTCCATCATCATACTCCAATTATTCCAAGAAAAGCTTCAGTGACATGATTAGACATGTTTATGGTGTTGTTTTTTCCCCACTTGCATAGGCATAACAAACTAAACGCACTAGGTACCAAATGATACAAAGATGATCGTCACTGCACAAAAAATAATAATTTCCCATTGTTAAAAATGACTGCATCATCTTAGAATAAAAGGTGGATACAGTTAAAAGTGAAAAAATTTAATACTCGGAAGTATAAACATACCAATGTTTTGCTCCTGAAATTTATTCATTAGAAATCCATCAATTTACCTTGGAATAAGAATGTTTAGAGAAGAAATTTTTCTTTGAAATCATAATAGAGTAATTCCAACATCTGTGTGGGATAATCTGGAAGAAAAAAGTAATTGTTGGAAGGTAATAGTAAAAAGAAAATATTTTAATCATGCTCTTGATAATCAGCTTCATAAAATAGTTGGAAATTCACAGAAGTTAAGCTAATAAATTTAGAAAAAAACCAGCTAAAATAAGATTCTTGACAAATATCAACAGAACTACTTTAAAAATCATCCAAGCCAGCTATTTTATCTACACCATGTCAAAAAAATTTGATTCTCCCTTAAAAGCAGATTTATCACGTTAGATTAGATTTATAAGACTAACCCACAGATTTTTGGATGACGCCTAAAATTAGATCTTTTTTATTAAAATATTTTTAAAAAGTTAAGGACAGTAACTATTGTGGTTAAACCATGCAGACTTTCACAAAGGTACTTCCCCCCAAATACTCTGGTTTGTTTTGTGTGGTTATATCCTTACTTTGATAATATTCCTGTGATCTGTCATTCTGATTTTTTATACTGCAAGATCTGACTTGTTACTAATTGATGAAAAGGTAATTTTTATAACTTCATATTCTTTATAATGTGTTAACAGAGACATCATTTTTGCCAGACTATTTTTTTCTTTGACATACTCTTTTTCTTGATTTTTGCCTAGGGCATATGATCTTTATTGTTCATCTGCATAACTCTCAACATGTTCTTGGCTTTCCTTGTTGCACCAATAAATGGATATAGTCATTCCACTATGCTATTGACTCAACCCATGTCTGTTAAGAACCTCCTGTGCTAGATTCTAAGAAAACACAGTGAAAGAACATACATCAAAAAGCTAAGTCACCAGCTTGTCACCTGTATTTGCAAATAGATTTTTATTGGAACACAGCCATGCCGATTCATTTACACATTGCCCATAGCTACTCTTGTGCTAGAACATCACAGTCGAGTAGTTACAACAGAGGTACTTGGACTACAAAGCCTAAAATATTTGCTCTCTGCCTCTTTATAGAAAATGTTGAGGTCTGAGGATTTAGCAGCATGGTTCTGCCACCTGTCTTGTAAGCACAAGGTCCTAAGTTTGATTCCTGGTACCAAAAAAAGAAAAAAGAAAAGAAAATGTTGGCTCACTCTGCTAGACTCCAAATCCATTTTCAACTGTTCTAGCTTTTCCTTCTTTGTCTTAGAGAGTACATTTTTATTTCTGTTTCAGTTATTTCTTTCACAGAAATGATTGCCTGGTTAGCATGCTTCCTACCAATTCCACCCCACACACGAGTTAATAAAGCTCATATTTTCCTCAAAGCCAACTGTGCCTACCATCCATCTTTAAATCATCCAATCACTAGTTTTTTAGTCTTTTTCTTTCAACATTCAGGTAGTGAAAAAAAAAAGCATTGCTATCAACTAATTTTTGTTTCTACCACCACCACCTACTGCTGGACCTCAAAATCGCATAAAGCATGAAATGCTATAGTCAGTTTCTTGTACCTCCAACTTAATCTCTGTAAAATGGCACCTTGTATAGACACTCCAGTAGCTTTCCGTCTCCCAGAGTAGAAGCCATGAGGTGAGGGCCATCTTTCGGACAGTGCTGCAAAATTGGTCCACGGGGCACACAGACCAACAAGTGCCCGGAGGCTCAATAAAGAGGTCTCTTGAGCCGATGCATCACTACCTCCAGTTTTCAAGTGTACAAAGATGTTCTTCTGAAAACTAAAATACAGATGTGTTTATTAAGGTTAATAATTTCATGCAACTTTTTCTCATTCTGTATTTTCCCAAGTAATTGATTCTAAAAGAACAACTACTTTTCAGCTATAGTATGAGTACGTCTTCACTGAGCATTAAATGCTTACTTTCCTCTCAAGGGCTTTGTTACTGATTTACAATGGGGCTGTGGAGCCTAGGCTCTCAGCATTTGAAGAGGAACATGAAAAATGAAGAATACCTAAATGCAACTTTCTCTTTTCCTTTCTCCTTGATGAATACTATGGTTTGGGAGGAATTTTTAAGGTGCAGAAAGGTCTTGGGAAAAGAGATTCCTGCTCATACCTAACTCAGTTCTAGACTTCAAGAGAAAGAAACCTCAGGGCCTCTGGATCCAGACTGATCAGGCTGTGCTAATCAGAGAAGGAAAGAAGGAAGAAATTTGGACAGATGCTGTGATAAATGATGCAATAGGGTAGGCTGCTCTAATTCCAGCAAAAAATTATTTGACCTAGAAGTAATTAGCAAGAAATGTGCTAGCATTTGTTGCGCTTCTGTGGCATATCATCCAGTTGAGTAGTCCTTTTACATATGTTTTATTTCACACTCACAACTATTCCATGATGTATCTGTTCTTATTCATCATGTTTATGAACACAAGAAAAAAAAATCAGAAGATATTTAAGAAGTTGCTATATCCAGGCTGTTACTAAATAATGGGGGAAAGATTTGAAAACAGTTCTATGTGACTTTTGAGCTTTTCCATGCTTTCTAAATCACTGAGATGTCTGTTCTAAAGACTGCTTATATCTTTTCAAGTCTCTCTTATTGATTCTCATGAAGACCATAGTCCACCTAGTTTGGATATTGTTAAATCTTTTTAAACTTAGCAGTTTTCATTTCATTAACAGAACAGGCCTCAGTGGTTATGTAAATCGAGTCCACAAATTTACAATGACAATTCCTGCAAGGCTTGAAAGAATTAGGAGTACACTGAGAACAGTGCAGTAACATACCACACTGAGACACTCTAGCAGTCACTCAATTGCCTACCAACTTGATCCATGGTGGGAGCCTTTGCACCTTTGGTCTCCTTCTTTGAGTCTGCCTGAAAGATAAAATTGGTTTCTAGAAAGTCCAATTTCCTCTCCTCACTGTAACAGCAGGAAACTGGTAGAAACTCTTTATAGCTAGAACTTGAAGGGTGCAGTTCTCAACACTGGCTCATATATAAGTAAATAGTAAGTAAAATAAGGATAAAATGATGACATTCTTCAAGAAACAGCTTTAGGTCCTTGAAAATGATTATTTCTGTTTGCCTGCAACTGTAAAAATGAGTTTCAGGTAATAGCTTTTCTTTTATATGGTAAATGATGAATGACCATTTAACATTGACTCATCTACCAACCAAGATATAAAAAAACACAAAGAACTTACTGTGCTAAAAGGGAATTTGAAGACTGAAGTCACCTGATTTTTCAACTAGGTGATTACACCATGGGGATATTCATTTATCTTTACTTCAACTCTGGAATTACATAAAATATATTTTGCCAGCCAAGAAAATCAAGCCCTTTAGCTTCTACATTTTTTCTGAACCCCATAAATATGTTTTTATCCAAGTTAGTATATCCTCTTAAATTTTGAAAACTGTGATGTCCAATCCAAATATGCGTGAAGATATCCACCAAAGTGGGACTATCCTTTTTTGAATATTTATTTTGCCAAATGATCACATAAGAATTCTGTTCACTTGTAAGGATCAGGCCTGTCATACCTTGGGAAAGTAATAGAAGCAGCAAAGCAGAAAAAAAAGATGCCCAGAATTCAGCAAGGGAAATATATTTTTTGTAAGCATTTGTTATGATTTTTCAATTATTATTTTCTGCTTTTCACAAAAATAAATATCTCAGGCTCAGTTTCCGCTTAACTTCAGCAAAAATAACAGTATAATGCCTTACAGCTAAAATTTTTTAAAGAGAACAAAGGAAAAAGACTGGAAACGGAGAAAGGCAAGAATATAAACAATTTTCCCTGGCATCCAGGGAAATGGAAATGTGCCTTTAAAATTTTCAGTAAGTACTTGTTTGCCAAATCAAAATAATTATTAAAATTCAACCAAGATAATACCCTTTTTCCATAGGTGCTAGTTCGGCAGGATTAACATTTTTGTTTAAATTAAATATCAATATCCAACACTACTCTTCAGAGCAGGATCAAGTCTTTTTCAGTTCATTATTTTTTCCCATGAATCTATTGCTCTTAAAGGATTTTCAAACGCAAATGTGTGCCTCCGTCTAGGTGTTAAGCGATGATAGAGATAAGCCTCCATACCACACTCAAAGAAAAATTACTTATTTTCCCTTTTACGTGCATGTGTTCATCAGAATACGGCCTCCTATTTTTATTTCTATAGCAGCATGTATTCCAAAGACCAGCTAAAGAATTTGAAGGAAAAGGAATTCAAAACATTGTGGATTCTCTGACCAGATCTTGTGTGTTCTTATCTAATGTTCCACTTGCTGTTGGGCATAATTTAGCAAATAACCATATCAGCAAGTAAAAGATGATAAATTCATTTAATAGGCTTCATTCATATAAGTATTATAAAGACTGACCGTTAGCTAGCTGTCACAAAATCTTTCTCCTGTAGTTACGGATAATATACAGAAAATAAAGGAACTAAGACTAGATATCTTTCTCTTCACATGCATTCAGACAAGTTCACACACACCCTTCGGTAGGTGGTTCTTTTACAAGGGATGGTGAATATATCTGATTTATAATTGTTGCCAATCCCAGATCACACCTAAACTGCTGAATAAGCAGTACTGAGTAAGAAACAGTTAGTACCTGAAAAATATTGGATAACCATTAGTTTGGGCATAATCAATAAAGCCAGTGCATTCCAGCCTGGGCAATATAGTGAGACCTTGTCCTCAACCTCCCAAGTAGCTGGGACTACAGGTACTGGCACATTATTAGTACACTAGATTCTATTCAATTGCAAAGAACTTTTTTTTACAACACATTCCAATATAATTTGAAAATACTAGATTAAACAAACTAATTCAATTGTCATTTCTCACAAATCTGTCAAAGTGTATCTATTTTGTGTATGTGTGACTTTCTAATAGAAATGACATATTAATTTATATTTAAATTATTTAGGAAAATAAATACTAAAATTGTCTACATATTATCAATCTAAATCTTTAACTTGAGTTTAACATCAATCTTATATGTTCCTTTACATAGAAACAAGTTGAAAAACACATTACCCCAGGCTTATTGGCCTAACACAGTGCAAACTTATTATCTCAAAGTTCTTTAGTTACTAAATCTCGTGAGGCTAAATAATCCAAGGTATGGGCTTCCTTTTTAGAGCCTCCACTGCAGCCTCTGCTTTCTTGTTTTACCTGCACTAGAAGCTGCACCCTTCCTGGGCTGTGTTGCTCTCATTTCTGAATACAGTGAAAATGAGTGGAGACCTTTACAGATTGCATCCCTCGGAACTTCTGCCTCCCTCTTCCAATTTAAGGGCCCTTCTGATTATATTAGGCCTGATCACTTAGTCCTGTCTAATTCAAAGTCGGATGATTAGCAATACATTTAATTCTATCTACAATTTTAATTCCTCTTTTCCATGAATCAAAATAGTTTTAGACTTGGGATAAAAGTGGTGGACGTCATTGGGGGTCCACTATTCTGCTTGCAACAAAATACCTCTAGATACACATATATACTCACATCTGTGAAACAGTTTTATTAAAATGAGATGCCACTCTATATGCTTTTTTATTTATTTATCTTTATTTTAATACTTTTCATGGTGCTGGAAACTGATCCTAGGGCCTCGCATGCACATGGGAGGCAAATGCTCTGTCACTGAGCTGCATACTCAGCTGCTCTACATGCTTTTTATAAAAAATGCTCAAGTTAGTTGACTTCAAGTTAATGGACAAAAAGGAATTTTCTAAATTTTAAGCAAAATTTTTTATGTTTTGTTATTACTTTTAAAAATATACATCTAAGCTTAAAAGTGAAATATTAACAAAATATTAGGTGCTGAAAGTTATGTTTTAGAATAAGCTTCAAATTTAGCAAGGTTAGATTTACTTTAGAAAAGTGAAAATGTCCCCAGTTTAATGCCATTATTCTAATATCATCAAGCTACAAAACATTTAAACTCAGTCTCCAAAACTGAGATTTCAATATTATCTAAGGCTTGTATTTTGCTAGTCAACAGTCACTCTATCATTTCTCCATTTGTGAGTTTGGACTCTTCTCTTTTTGCGTGGCATTTACCTTCATATATTTCTTTATTTCAGGATAGGCTCATCAATGTTCTCTCCAAGTCCTTGTGTACTAACAAATGTCTAGTTTGGGTTTTTATGACTGGATTAGGAGCATTTGGGGCCATACTTTATTAACAGGAGGACTTCATAGACATTGTACTTGTCTACTGGAACTGAATGTTCTTTGGAGAAGTTTGAGAATAATTTCATTTTTCTGTTTGATTGTTTTGTTATGCCTGGATGACTAAAATACCTTTTTAATACAATTACTTGAAAATTAATATTTTCACCAGACCAAAATTTTATCCTTATTTTCCTGGAACTTTTTGGTTAACCTACTTAACCTGCACTTGCCCTTAATTTTAGGGAAATATTCTACTCTTACATTATGGGTCCATTTATTGTAGGTCCTTTTATAGGCTTTTTGAAAAAATTCCAGAATGGTCCATATATATTATATTACATAATCTTTATCTTCTCTCCTTTATAGTAAGCTAATTCTTTTATTTTATTGGTACATTTTAGATACACACAATGATAAAATTCATCATAGGAAATTTGTACCTATACATGATATATCTTGCTTCTTCCTGGAATGCCCCTTCCCTCCCTTCAATCCCTCTTCTCCTTGTTCACCAAAACTTTGTTTCCATTTCGCATGTCTTGTGAATATCTTAAGAATTCTCTGTGTCAAGAGTTGAGAATACC